AAATCAACTAAAGGGTCTTTCAACAAGGACCGGTCGATGTTGTAATTGAATATGAATATTGAAAGCTGTGTGTGAGATATTAACGATTTTTTTATTTTATTTGAATGGCCCATTTATGCCATTATTTATGGAATATGACATCGTTCAAATGTCCGCCGCGGCTTCGAATGGTGGCACCATAGAGAAACGAATAAAAAGAGAGTTGTCAAACCTGCAGTAAAAGTTGGCACCACGTTTAGAGCGACACACTTGGCAACTGGGTGGAACTAGTTACTATGATCGATAAAACAGATTCTCTAGTTACCGATTGAGATAAGGCGGTATATTTCAAACCTTTACTTTCAAAATTTGTATTAATCGAGAAAATTACAAAAAAAAAATTAAAAAACTTAAAAAATATATTTTATTCCATCCAAGACTAGAGAACTACATATCATGAAACAATAAGTGAATAAAACTCTGAAAAAAAAACAAAATAAGATATAAACTCTTCAGCCTAATAATGACTAGACATCATACAAAAAGGAAACAAACAAAAATAATGAAAATTATGAATAAATGAATAACTAACTCTGAAAAAAAATTGTCCTGCTACATATGTTGCCTGGGTGTCAAATTCTGAGTTAGAAAACACAATATCGAAATTTGGAATAACCAATTCATTCAACTCATTGACAAGAACTGATGATGGCTCTGGCTCCACTGGGCAAGTTAAAAATTAGTTGAGATTATCCAATTTGGTAGTCACATCTTCTTCACAATTTTTGTTGGCATTTTTAGGTATCATCAACTTATTCAACACTTGCTTGCACACTTGAATTTATATGCACGGGGTCTTGACATCTCACCGCACTTTTACATCTGTGATATTCTTTTAATCTGAAATACTGAAATATTACATAAAACAAACATAAAACTGAAATCAGTTAACATGCGTTCTTCAAGAATACCTACTTCAATTCGATAAAATGTATGTTTAATTCAGTTCCGTTCATATTTCGGTTAGTTCAGAATGAAAGAATATCACTTATGTTTCTATAAAAATGTACCTATGTGCAACCTACATGAATATTATCAATTTCACCTTGTCAATAATAGAAATACACTCGGAGATAAAGTAAAATAAATGTGAAAGAGAAACTCGAATTTCAGTATCAACATCAACTCGGAAAATAAACAATATCTGTTGTATTCCATTGGTCTGTTCCTTCGTTCTAAAATGGAACTTGCTAAAGTTGATGTTTTTCCATAGTTGTCTCTGTTCATAGCATGATATAAACAGACAGTTATAGAAAAAAAAATTAAGTTTAACCAGTAGAGCAAACACATACGAACAGGCCTTATACTGTCGTGCTGTCGAATGTCGAAATTCAAAATGTTTCATGTCATGACTCGTTTGTCGATTGCGAACAGCGCCTCCATGCGCGACTGGGTTGCGCACAAACTTTTTTTTTTTTTTTTTTTTTTTTTTTTTTTTTTTTTTTTTTTTTTTTTTTAATTGCATACCTCGTTAGTCCCAGCACTGGGACCAAACGCCCCATAAGTCGAAACTTGTGCGGGGTTAGGTATACATACAAACACAAACATCCATGGCCTAACTAGGATTCGAACCTAGGTCTCGGTGAGAGTCCCCATACGAACTCAGCGCCTTAACGCTCTCGACCACCGAGCCTTGATGGTCAAAATTTCCTATGTTTTGAACAGTCTCTTTATTTTTGGTTTGTCTATGGGTGGCACGGATCCGAGAGGTCCAATTTTCAATGACTGCTGCATAAATCCGGCTGAATCTGAGCAATGGCTTGCGTTATGTTCACTTTCAGGGCATCGGTCGATTGCGGCTTATTAACATAGACCTGCGACTTCAGAAAACCCCACAAGAAAAGTCTAGTGGAGTCAAATCGCACGATCTTGGCGGCCAATTCACATCACCTCTGCGAGAGATAACCCTACCCTCAAACCGTTCGTGCAGAATGTCCATTGTATCGTTCGCTGTGTGGCACGTTGCGCCGTCTTGTTGGAACCACATGTCGTCCACGTCCATATCGTTCAATTCAGGCCGAAAGAAATTGTTAATCATTGATCTGTAGCGCTCGCCATTGACGGTGATGGCCTCGCCAATGTTATTTTCAAAGAAGTACGGACCAATGACGCCGCCGGACCAAAATCCACACCAAACAGTAACTCTTTGTGGATGCATTGCCACCTGGTGAACCTCCTGTGGGTTGTGTTCATCCCATATACGGCAATTTTGCTTATTAACAAAACCATTCATCCAAAAATGGGCCTCGTCGCTAAAGATTATTTTTCGGCCAAAATCGGATTCGTCTTCCAAACGTTCCGAAGCCCACTGAGCGAACAAACGGCGTTGCCTATGGTCATTAACTTTGAGCTGCTGGGTCAGTTGGATCTTGTACGGGTGCAGGCCCAAGTCCCGGCGCAAAATTCTCCAAGTTGAAGTCTGCGAAAGGCCTAGTTCTTGTGCACGGCGAGAAATCGACTGTCTCGGAGTCTCCTGCACACTCTGACGGACAGCGATGATATTATCGGCGGATCTGGCGTTACTTTGACGTAAGGGTGTTGGTTGGTTGTTTACCGAACCGGTTGTCTCGAATTTGGCTACCAAACTTTGGAGAGTCGACTTTGAAGGGCCACCGCGTCTGCCGTAAAATGGGCGCAACGTTTGCACTAACGAACACTCATTTTGATAATGAAGTTTAATCATTTGGACATGCTGCTCGATCGTGTAACTTGCCATGGTAATTTGGCATCAGTGACTGAATAGAATACAACAGATTTGACAGATGCCCCTAAAAAAACATGGCCGCCACACACTGTCAACATCGACCGGTCCTTGTTGAGAGACCCTTTAGTACCCAATAGATCGTTTGTTCCGAGCACCCTGATTTTCTGACGTAGCGGAAAGAAAATCATCAAAATTAATTCCAAAGGATTCTTCAAATTTTGGAATCGGATAAAAAATAACTGAGCTATCACCCTGTACTATGTTGTTGTTGACCAGAATTCGTAGGGGATCTGCGTGTTATAAATGTCATGGATATGATTATTTATCGGTGAGTGAAATATTTCCATCAAACATATTTTCATCAATTCAATTCCAATTGATTCTAGATACTGATAAATAGATAACTATTTTTCAATAAATTTTATAGAGCATAAATATTTTCTCGGAGTAAGATATATATATATATATAGTTTAAGAGAAGGGTAGTCTATGACTGACTAGTTGAGGTAAAATACTAGTGATTTAGAAACAAACACTGTGGTTCAATTCTTCATAGGGTTGCAGTCAAAATTTTAGGCATCAAATAAGTGAACTCTTCGTTATTTAGCCGAGCTTTCGGAAATGTTTATTTCCTTTTTCAAGACATTTAACATGAGATTGGTTTAAAGTTGGAACAATTAAAGAACAGACGATTCATTTGCTGAATTTGTTACACAAACTGGAATACATTAGGATTTGTAAAACGTAGAAAACAATTTAAAAAACAGTAAACCACCGGTGCTTTTTCATAGTCGACTTCGATATCTCCACCACCCAGTGGAGATATCGAAGTCGACTATGAAAAAGCACCGGTGGTTTACTGTTTTTTAAATTGTTTTCTACGTTTTACAAATCCTAATGTATTCCAGTTTGTGTAACAAATTCAGCAAATGAATCGTCTGTTCTTTAATTGTTCCAACTTTAAACCAATCTCATGTTAAATGTCTTGAAAAAGGAAATAAACATTTCCGAAAGCTCGGCTAAATAACGAAGAGTTCACTTATTTGATGCCTAAAATTTTGACTGCAACCCTATGAAGAATTGAACCACAGTGTTTGTTTCTAAATCACTAGTATTTTATATATATATATATAGATAATCTGTGGTATTAACTAGGAAAGTAGTTGTTTCCTGTTAGATATTCAAGCAATGAATTTCTTATTACTCAAAAAATGTGGTAAAACTGCATTCAGCATGCGATGGGGTTTTTTTCGAAAACTTTTTTTGGTACTTACGTATTTTTGTCTGAAAAACACGAATTTGATAATGAAAATGTGAACAAACCGTTATTTATTAAGATATTTCACTATAAAGTCACAAATTTCACCTTCTTTCCGCCTGTCTTCTGAATTGCATTTAAAACAATTTGCCCTTCTTTTTTCATCATAGGGCAATTTATATATATCACAATGTAAGACACATTTTTTTCTATTATTGGGTCAACTAGAAATATGATTTTCTTGTGATTTCATATTCAATGAAAAGAAGGAAGAATATCATTTAAAATAATGGCGTGTGTAATGTCATTCAAACACATTCGAAAGCAATCTGTTGACATTTGACATCTCGTATTTGGATTGACTCTTAATTAAATGGCCGTCATCTGGTATGCTTGTTCACTAAATATGAAAAACTCGCCATAAAAATCATATTTCCTGTTGAATGACAAAATAAGAAGAGCAAATACCTGTAAATGCATCCAACACAAGGGGAAAAATAAGTCGAAATTGTTTTGAAATATCTCGATAAATAGTGATTTGTTCACATTATCATTGTCAAATTCGTGTTTTTCAGACAAAAATACGTAAGTACCAAAAAAAAATTTCGAAAAAAAAACCATCGCATGCTAAATGCAGTTTTACAAAAAATATATTCAGTTTCTCAAAATCGGATCACTTTGCAAACGTAATGGCATCGCTCTCATACTGTAGGATTCAAGTCCATAGTCCAGAGTCCCCAAAAAAATATTTGAGGTTGTTGGACTTTATGGACTCAAGCTCCACTTTCACACATATTTCATAAATAGACAAACATCAACATGATACTGTTTCAAAAAAACCATGGCATAAGTAGCAAAAATGTTTGGCTCGAAAATCGGAGAAAAAAATATGGAAAAACAACCCAAAAAGTAGTAAAAACATGCAAGCAAAAAGCTTTTGAGTGGTTAGCAATTTTAAAAATGCTTCGGGTTAGTTCAGGAGCACAAACCACCACTTACATCTATACCTTCCTCCAGCCTCTTGTGGATACCAAGAAAAAACAAAAAGTTTTGTTATTGTCGTCCTAGAAAAAATTGTCGAATTCGAAGAAGACTAGAATAAAGGAATTAGCAGTAATTGTAAACTGTTTAGTCAATTATTACACGAGGAAATGGAAATCTAGCTACAACAAATAAAAATTTCGAATTCAGTGAAAATTCGAAATTCTATACAGGTTCTGTCAAACTCAGTGTCCCATTATAGGTCGCGTGCACGATGTCCAACCCTGGAGGCAAAATATTGAAACACAACCTCATTCTTCTGTGAATTATTGAAACACAACCTCACTTTTTTATTTGGTTACAGCGGAATCAAAGGATAGAAATAGTTTTTCACAATATTTCGGTATACGAATCGTGTTTTTTGCCCTATTCATTAATTCGAGCATGCCTTCGCATTGTGCTGTTGTACAATGCACAAAAAATGCAGCAAGAGACTAAAGAATATGATTTTTCAGGTAAATAGTAATCTCACATAGTTATCATTATGAAATGTTGTCATTCCTTATTAAAATTATTTCTGCCTTCTGCCACTTCTGCAATACAAGCTAATACTGCTAATAGATTGAAAATGTCTACAACACACACGATCGTCAGCATGTCAGACCTGTCCTCCCGATTGATTGCATGAATCCAATCTTCTTGCATTATTTTAGAAATTTCAGGTGTATTTCTATTAGCTCCTATCGCAGAAGGAATTCCGATGAGAAATCAGAGAAATTACCAAATTTCAAAAATGAAAACTATATGTGAGTGACTATAGTAGGTACTTACTTTTAAATCATAATGTACCATCCGGATTCCTTCATCTTCCGCTGCAGTTTTGGTGCATCTTACAACAGCACAATGTGATGGCATGAGCGAATTGATGAATAGCGGAAAAATACGATTCATATTCCAAAATAATTGTGGAAAACTATTTCGATCACTTGTAAACAAGTAAGAAAAGTGACGTTGTGTTTCAATGTTTTGCCTCCAGTGTCGGTCATCTGACAGTTCTTGCACGCAACCCATTACACCCTATATTTTTTCACGTTTTACTTTTCTTTTGACAGTTTCAGAATATCAAGTGATAACTTTATTTCAACAGTTTTCCTTTTTGACATTGGATGTTTTTGGATTTTTGACAGAAGTGCCTAAATCTTTGGAACCATTCCAATCACGCGATATGTTGGGATTTCTGTTTTTTGATGATTATTTTTCACAAGAAAATTGTGGATGCTGAGTTTGATCAGGGTGTTTTATTCTAGTCCTAGCACGACGTTAGCCCACTGTGGTCATTAGAGTCCCTGTATGTATTTGACAGTTTTGCTGTAATAAATGTACTATTTCTATATATGGCCCATCGCCTATACGATATCTCAACCAAAATGGGACCAAAATGAGAGGTACTTTTTGAATCTATAAGGACGGAAAGTGAAGGATGGAAACAGCCATATTGGTTTGACAAGTTTCGTATTATTTTTTCCCTACGTCGGCATCAACGCCTATTGGTCGATTTCGTTACCTATAGAGAATGATGGAAGTAAGATATGGTGTAATTACTGATGCGCTTTTGTTTCAGAAATTTTACTCGACCTCTCGAGAGCAGCGAGAGCAATGGTTCCGTTGATCTTCTAATAGATGGCGACATTGCACAATTATGACTTCTGTCAGTTTTGAAATTGTCGCAGATTTTTCGAATTCAGAGTTGTTTATTCCCACTGTTACATACGTTCCGCGTACCTAAAATGGCATTTGGCATTTTATTTCCACTCGTCACAGCAGCAATAGCAGCATCACCATCTAGCGGGAAAATGTAGAATCAACGTCTCGCTCGTTGTGACGTAGAGAAATCATAGTAGGCCGGTCGAGTGATTTTTCTGAAATTTTCAATATGTAATAATGGCCGAATACGCACACCATATCTTACTTCCATCATTCTCTGGGCGACTGAGATTAAGATCGTAGCGCCAGAACGGCGAATGTCGGTACTACTCTATGGGCCATTGGCGGATTGTTTGGTAATGGTGTTTATGTTCATTTCGTTTTGAGTTTTCAAACGTTCACCTTTTTATTTGTCTATTTTCGAACTTTGTATTTTCCAGCGGTCTATTGTGTTTTGATTGAGGGACTATATTATCTCTGTTCAACATTAGATAACCTCCCTACCTCTAGTTGAACTTCATATATACCAACATACATAAGCTGTAAGTTTTTATCATTATTGAACAAGAATTCTCATGAAAACCTGTGTGGAATGTTGATTTCCAATTTCGAATATATGGCTGGGATATTCCCCTGATAGCATGATATTTTTAAAAGAAAATCCAGCATACTTTTTGGGAATAAAATGTTCTTTCGAAGGTGAATTTAGGTATACAGTTTCTACTTGACTTTTTACAACATAATCATCAAAACACTGATTGATAAAATTCTTTACTGTTTAAAAATTCTACTGTTCATGAGTAAAGATATAATCAGTTTGAAATTTGTTTGTTTTTTTACCATCACCTCGAGAAGTAGGTATTATATTCATAATAGACATAGACATACATTTGAAAATATACCTATGAGTAAATTTTCAGTGAAGTGTAAAAAACAATATCTCATTATGTTCAGACACTTTTTCCAATCTTCAAGTTATGAATCCACATCTTTCTCCTACCGATCACTTCCTTGTTTCCCAAATTATTAGTTTCTAATACAAATTCAGACTGTCCTGATTTTTGAAAGGAATGAAAGCTATACTCGGGATTTTTTGCTCAAGATGAACAATCAGGTACACAACAATAATGACTCATATTTTTAGACGTTTATAGAAGTTCTCAAACAAAATTATAGACAATTGAAACACAACTACTCCCCTACAAAATACACGCAAACTAATGTAAACAAAGCAATCAATGGCCCATACGTTAGTTATATTAGACAACGGTAGAGGGCGTACTCCTTAGCATGATTCGCCTATAGAGACAGAAGTTGGTCCCGCTTTGAGGACAGCTATGTTTCATATATAGAGTAGTAGATATATGGTACGGACACTATGACAAGCAGTGACAGAAGGCATAACCTTAAAAAATTTCAAATGATGGCGGGCACTGACTGTTCATGAACGTACAATTGAATTATTTGAAAATTCAGTATTTCAAAAATTAAAATGGCTAATTGTCTAGTTGAAAACTGCAAGAATAGAAGAGATTCATTTCATTCATTCTATTTTTCCCATGATAAACAACAGCTACAGAAATGGAAACGGCGGCCATTGTGGAAATTGAGTTCAGCTAGACAAATTTGCGAAGTAATAAGTACTCAATATTTGAATTTTTCGATTGAATATGACGCATAATCGAAGGAATAATATCATTTCTAATTTCAGTTTTAACATAATAGGTGCACTTCAAAAGTGAAGATTTGATATTGGAACTGCCGGTAAATTGATATACCAAATTCTGAATTTGAATCGAAATCATTATCATCAGATAAATATATAGATTTAACCAAGGAGTGGAATGATGATGATATTATATTTCGAAAGACGATTCAAAATTGCTTGTATCATTGTGCTGGCTACATTGTATGCAGAATAATGAGACACCTAAATTGTCGAGTATGTGCTGATGAAATGATTGCATAAACAGGAGATAACAATTTTTGTTCCAAACTCTTGCTCTCAAAGGAGTAAGCATCTTTTTCTTGAAAAAATTTGAATTCTGATTGTTTTTCCCCTTTTTCTTTGTATGGAACGTTCATTTCAAAATTTGAAAAGAGTAATTCCTAAAAAAAAATAACGATTTGAAAAATATACCGGGTGACACAGAAGACATGTAGCAGTCTGTATTTTTTTTATTTGAAGAGATAACATTTTGAAATTCACAGGGGGTATATATAATAAATGGTAGCGCACTTTACGAACTTAACGACAATTTTTTTCAACCACCTGTTTCACCGGATGTGACCCCAACTTTTTTTTTAATGTCACCCTGTACATTTCTTCAGTCTATCTTTTTCGCCTTGAAATTCTCTATACAACCATGTATCACAAAGTGGCATTTATTTCTTAATTCGCTGTTGAATTGCTTTTTATTCAAAAAGAATAAGTTGGCTGTGACATGAGTTCGATGATATATCGACACTTGGTAGGCTTTGAAATTCAAACATCATTAGTAAACCGATATTATTCAAAATGTTTTGATATTCTGATCAATGTCTGCAGGTTGTCAATAGCTTGTTTGAGTCAAGATGAAAACCTTCTAAAATAACTCATGATATTGAGGAATCTAAGATAGGAACATATATTTTCGAATTCAGCTACTCGTACAGAAACTGTCTGTCTTTTATTTTCGCCATGTACCTATCACATGGTCTTCCCATTTGGAATAATAAAACTAAAATTGTTCCTCTTATACGATGATCCACAGGGCTATCAGTCTATTTTTTCATAATTATTTCACTTAGTAGGCGGTGTACCTACACAAAATGTTTTATGTGTTCGACAGTTAATCGATTGCATCAATAATTTTTCTTGTCAAAAGTCATTTTGAGAATTTGGGGTTATGCCTTCGTCACTGCTTGTCATAGTGTCCGTACTCTTATTACAGCAAAACTGTCAAATACATACAGGGACTCTAGTGGTAATTTGTGTAGTGATTTAGGCTTTTAAGGATGATATTCCTTCCTTTCCAAGACTCGGGAAGGTCTCGCTTATAATAATTCAAAGTTTTTCTGCGAGCGAATGGGCATGCGCCCAATCGTCATCACGTGGTTTATTTGTGACAAATCTGACAATGAGGTTTAGGAATGCTTCGAAAACTTTAGGCTCTCCGTCTTCTGATAACTTTTCTCCTCAAATAGGTACTCAAAATGTCAGGAAGTTTCTGTCATGAAGGAAAACTGTATTCAAAGTCAAAACCTACTCAGATGTTATATTTTATATGTATATGTATATTTAACTATCTGTATCAAAATATTGAGTCATGAAGTGATTCAAAAAAATCTATTTATCAATACTTCAATTGAGACCTCAATGATAGGTACTTGGAAAGCAGACTTTCATCTCAGTACAAAAATATCTGCTTCAAAATATTCAACAGAACTTCAATAGACACATAAATAATAGTATACTGGGTGATTCGCGATGGTTGGCACATTAGACGTTTCTGGAGAACGCAACTCAGGATTATTATGAAAAGTTGGTGCCTTGGATAATTAGTTGTGTTCTATTGGCCTAAAATATTCTCAGCGTTGCGACGTTGCCGCTTATGTTGAAAAGTAGCAACAACTTTGATTTTTTCAATGGAACACCCTGTATGTCATTCCATTTTCAGATTCTCCCTGAAGAGCTGATTCCATCGATCTATCACACTTGCGGTACAGCGGGAATGATAACAAAGATATAGGGTGTGAAAAACCGAAATTTTTTCAACTTTAGGAATTTTTTGTGTCGATACTATTCATAATTAATCAAAACGGTTTTCATGTCTCTATCTCAACTTTTTATGTACTATCAATTGATATTTAAATGAAATAGATACAGGGTGGTCAAAAATCTCAATTCTGAACCACCCTGTATGTATTTTCACACCCTATATCTTTGTTATCATTCCCACTGGACCCCAAGTGTGATAGATCGATGGAATCAGCTCTTCAGGGAGAATATGAAAATGGAATAATATACAGGGTGTTCCATTGAAAAAAACAAAAGTGTTGCTACTTTTCAATATGAGCGGCAACGTCGTAACGCTGAGAATATTTTAGGTCGATAGAACACAACTAATTATCCAAGGCACCAACTTTTCAGAATAATCCCGAGTTGCTTTCTCCAGAAACGTCTAATGTGCCATCCACTGTGAATCACCCTGTATATATGATGAGAGAAAGTTAGATTGCTTATAGTAAGCATGTTGATATTAGCATACACAAACATAAAGCCACTGGTAAGAACAGTAAGTAAAGAGAGGAGTACATTATTCAAATCAGTTTTTTCTCCATACAAAATAAAACACCCCTACAATTCTTTGGTATGGTTTACTTTACAAGTGTACCTATCATGTAGGTATTGTTTATCCTAGAAAGTGGTTACCCTAGCCCTCTTGTTATTGCATAAATTCATAAAATAGGAGTTAGTGAATTGTTGTTACAGATTTTTTTTTCATAGATTGTGATGAGTTGAAAGATGATATTATCAAAATGTCCTTTGGATTATTTCAATTGTTACTTGAAATTATTGATTATTATTCCAGATACTGTGATAAGATTATATATTTAAACTGAGGCAAATACCTAATTATAATTCATTAATTATTGACAAAAAATGGGATTATGAATTCAAAAGCAAAGATAGGATTCATAATTGTTAAATTGCATTTCATGGAGTTTACAAGAAAAACAAAATATTTTTAGTTATGATTTATGTTACTTATGTACCCTTATTTACCCTTCCTGTCCCAATTCATCATATACAGGCAATATCTTGCTTATTTGACAATATAATTGAAAAATTCAAAAACTGCAGCAAATGGCATTGAAGTATTTTTCTTGTATATTGTCATTCAAAATTACATGTCATTCAATTTGGAACACAATGATACCTTATACTTTTGGTATATGTATTTTTATTGGTAACACCAAAAATAACAACATTCTGTGACTTTGTTTCAAGTCACTCAAGTTTCCTTATGAAAATGAAAAATTGCCTCTGCTCATGTTTTTTGTTCCAAAAAATCCATGCTTCTTATGTCAAAATAATTTTGAACACTTGCTGTTATTTTTAGTTCATTTTTTTATTCACATAAGAGGTATTTTAGTTGAAATTCTTACTTCATTAAATGTTGCTGTTTCTATTATAATAATAAAAAAATATCATGTATATGCTATTCTTGTATTCCTTATAGGGTGACACAAAATTTTCAATGATAATATTCATTTGAAAAAAAAATGGAGGATAGCTGCCAGAGAATTGTCAAAGATTTTTTCATGTCATTAGGAAGGTACTTCAATGCCATTCAATGCAATTTTTGAATGTTTCAATGATCTTGTCAAATAAGTGAGATATCGCCTGTATATAAGTAAATACCCTGGTGAATATAGTTGTTTCCAGTTGCATTTGATACCCTGAAATAATGTACACAAGTATGTAGTATGTACATAAATTCTAAAGATAACACAGTATGAAACAGATAAGTTATGGGTACATGAATAACAAAATCAAGTACCTATTTACCTACACTAAATTATTCACTGAAAAACTCTCTGGAAAATAGTATTACTTCAGTTTACATTCTCTTTTTGAGGTAGGAATTGTAGAAGAAGCACAATGAAAATTGAAAAATAAATATTGAATAAATAGGTTCTCCCACAATTATTATAATTTCTTGTAGGTATAAGTAATATTGTATGTATGTATGCCTAAGTACAAAAATAAAAAAAGGTGTAAGGGATTGTGATTTTGAAGACATACCTCGTTTTCCATCAGTTTCAACTTGTATACACTCAGCACTAGACAATGGACATTTGAATAATGCCCCAGAATGATTTGTATTGGGCTGCAGGTTTTTTCCTAAAGGGGCACCAACAAGCAACCTAAAACATTATATTAAACATGGGTTTCTCTAAAAGCCAAGTGATTAAACATGACTAATCCATGAACAGTTGACCTGATGAAAGCTTTATTGATAGATCATGATTCATTTCTCATGTTATGGTTTAACATGCTCTGCTAATTTTTGATCAAACCATGCATAAAAGATAATGGAAGGTTCAACTCACCAATATTTATCAATACTATTGTCTAAATTCCCATCCAATTCTACAGTACTATGTTGGGCAACACTAAAACCAAAATATGATCCTTTCTGACCGTCAGGGGCTTTCTTTACTAACGGATCTCTGTCTTCATAATTGAAGGATGAAACTAGGTTCCACAATAAAATATTTATAAATAAACTATGAAGTAACATTCTGGAGAAGGCACTTAGGAAATATAACGAATTTTCAGATACTAATGACGGGTCCCATGAATTAGAACTAGGGGAACTGTTACGGTTCATCAAATTCCAACATTCATAGATAATCAAAGTAAATATTTACTTAATATGATAATAAAATACCAAAACTACCAAGGAGCCCAAACACCAACCAACAACCCACAAGTTTAGAAACAAAAATAAATAAGAGGTCTGGTACTCTGTTCGTTCTGTGTTGAGTGTTGCTGAACTTGCCGAAGTTGATTTTGTTCACATAGTTGTCTCTGTTCATGGCATGATGTAAACAGAGAAAGTCATAGAAGAAAAACAAGGTCAGCAAGTAGAGCAAATACAAACGGAGGTTGTGGCTCGTACTCTCGTAGTCGTATCCCGTTATAGGAACTGTGTGGGCGACCGCAAATCGGACTAGTTTAGTAGTTTCTCAAGTGATTATTTAATGTCAAAATGTGGACAATTTGAGTTCAAGTTAAAATGAATTCAGATGATCCAATGAATACTTTCTGCTACCCAGCTGCTTTCAAGTTACACGATACCATTCATTATTAGCAGATATTCCCTTTGCTCGTCCCGCAATATCCCATCGTCACACAAAATGATGCGTTTCCTAACTATAGTTATATTATGGTCCAAGAGCCAGCTGCAAATTTCGACCGTCATCTGATGACGAAATGATATAATGTCCCAAAGGCATGTGAAAACATCGTGTATTTTATCGATAACGGTACCTGTGCCAACCACTATATCCTGAGCAAAATGATTGAAAAATGACACTTTTCTGTGCGGTCATTTGCACTTAATTGTGCGATTTGATGAAAAAATTAGAAATATGCCATCTGATACCATATGTTTTTTATAATTTTGAAGAATCATTTTACATTGGCATGATCCATCAAACACATTTGTAACATGACATCTCTGAGATGTCGTGTTTAGATGACAGTGCGATATCACAAACATTCAAAGCATAAACATAAGCAAAAACATCAGCAACATGACATCTCTGAGATGTCGCGATGAGGCAAAAACTGCGCTATTACGAAAGTTCCATCGCTGCGATGTACAGAATAAGCAGACACATATTCAGCGAAATGACATCTGAGAGATGGTATGATGAGGCAACCCTACTGCGATATCACGAATGTTGCATCGCTGCTATATACATGATCGTTGCATATATACTCTACACACTGTTATACCACTAACCCAACAGATTTTTTACGCCTCGACACATGTTTCGCTAACTGTATTTGCATCTTCAGGAGAAGATTAAAACTAAATGTTCTATCCGATTGTGCTACTTATATACTATAGGTATATGTCCACCCAACCGCCAAGCTAATGTTAGTCATGGTTGAGTTCGCATTTTAAGCTTGGTCTTATATATCACTAAACTATACAGAGGGGTTAAATGGGATAGGTCCATTATCCTCATTCTTTACTTTATTACTATTCTCTGAACATTACAGGATATCCCTTTTTGTGGAAACCAGAACATGAATAAAGGCTTCTAATTATGATATGATTGTGATTGAACATGTGTTCGAGGCTACACACACGATTTATTCAACTTACTCGCCATATTTCAAATGTACTAAGTGTTCTCTGAACGTTTTTTTCATGGGACGCCTGGTTTGGCCTGTAGATATGTCTTATAACAATCATTACAACTAATGTCGTATATTCAACTTTGTAAGTGTGTCCACCTTTTCTTCTGGATCAGGGATCACCTAATGAATTGCCTAATTTTGACCTAGACTGATAAACGCTTTCAAAACCTGAGACTTTGAAAACCTCATCAAGTCCTCTCGTGTTCTTGGGATTGAACGGGATTGGGATTCTTCTCGAATTGTTTTTATCCCTTGAAAAGTCGTTGAATTCCGAAGTGTGGTGAAATTTGTCAGTCTGTAGTTTCTCGTTTATCTGAACTAGATATTTAATATTTAAAGTGGAAGAGCAATCGATTCTTGTAGCATCCATAGTTTCTACGATTATTGACGATGACGATTCAGGCTCGAGTGATAAAGAATACTTAGACATTTTGTTGCCATTAATTTCTGATGCACCAGATTGAGAATTGAAATATTTATAGAAAACGTAGTGATGATGAATTTAGGAGACATTTCAGGTTTATTTAGTTATTTATTTAGCCAATGCTGTTTATTCTTTTGTTACCTCTACTTAAGATTGAAGCCACACTACCTTCCTCAGCAATTTCAGCAGAATGATGAGTCGAAATATTTGGAATAAATAGTATGTCTGCTCACAAGCATCTGTCACTTTCAGTGAATTTTTTAAATTCGGAATAAAAAATCAGCAGATTCAGTACTGTCAGTTGAATTCGGAATATAGCCTCAGTAGATCTACTGACAGTACTGACCAGTTGAATTCGGAATATAGCCCGCACATAACTATTTATAGCAGCCAAGATTCTGGTGTGGCTAAATTGTTAAAGATCCTGGTAATAGGACTCGTAGACAGATAATATGTTATCTCACCGACAGCTGGAAATAGATACACTTTCAATTTGACAAACATCTTTTCATTGTCATGTGAGAAGTGATTTCTTATTTCTTATGTGTCCTATGTCAAAAAGTTGTAGGTTATGTATGTGTATAAATATTTTTATCTGTGTTTTAATAATTATATCATTATTATTATTAAATTGAATTAAACTAGAGTGGTAAACTGCTAAGTAGCGTTTGTGTGTTTTCTCTTGATTAGATCACTGGTCAATTAGTTAAGTCAAGTCAAATATGCACAGCAGCCCGAAAAATTTTTCATTTCATTGCTGCAGTTCATTTTTGGTATGGTTGTTACTACGATTGGAATTGTTATAATACCACTAATACCAGCTAATGTGCATCGCATGGGCCAGTCCTTTGGTTTTAGCGGAAAACTAAAATTTTGAACATACTGGGATGCGGTAAGTTCAATAATTTCATACCGAGTTCCATACCTACCAAAAATGGTGATTAATTCTAGATCCATGTGATCAATCTAGATCTAGAAATGTATTAACTATGTTATTAAAATATTGTGCTTATGGTCTTAGTGCTTTGCCAACTAGATGCAAAGCTTATTGACTGTGAAGGAAAAAATCAAGTTCCAACTTTTGGTAATAAAGAAAAAAATCTTATGAAGGAAAATAACTGAACCAAAACAACATCATTGTATCATTCAGTGTATTTTACCCTCGATTTTACCATAGACTTCACTGGTGTAAAAAACATGAACACAAAATCATCCAACAACAAAGGCAATCTGTCTCTCAGGCTATCTTTAAAGTCCAAAGGCAGGCTGCACAAATGCAATGTCCATAATATATAACTATCTCAAATCTAATTAGATCAGATAGGTAGTTACCTATCTGATTTTGTATACATACAGTGTGACCCATTTTTAATGGAAACACCCCCCTAAAATTTGAAGTTGTAAACCGATTTTAATAATTTTGAAATGTCAAGTACTATGTCTACCTTGGGATGAAATTTGAAATGTTTATTCCAATTTATGATATTTTTTCTTAGTCGAAAATCATGATTTTTTATTAGCGATTTTTTTATTGAGACAAACACTATGCCACTTGATTCAGAGTGCCTCTAAACAGGTGTGACCAAAATTTCATGGAAAAATATTTATTAATTACAAAGTTATGACAACTCAAAAATTCGAAAACTCACACAGCTAACCTCGCAGCTAACAGTCACAAAAACACCCTATATCAGGAGAAGCTTTTATTTCAAAATATCTCCTTAACTACCCTGTATCTCTTAAACCAGTGATATTTTCATGAGGCATGTTGGGCTAAATCTTTATATTTTTGTGTTTATACTATCTGTAGTTCAGGGATTTCCCATTCTTAATGAATCACCCTGTATGTAGCATGTCTTGCATTTCTTCGTAAAATCATTATCTCTTTCCTATTGAAAAAAAAAGCTTTTGAGAAAAAGGGGGAAATCATTAGAAAATACCGGACAATACGAAATCTGAAAAAATCAGATCAAAAATCTTATTGTGTTTTAGAGAGAAACCGATGCTTCTTCATTTATCAGCTGTCATAAGGTGCTGACCTCAAAAAAACTAACATTTTCGATTAACAATTACTTCCAAAGAAATTAACAGTTCTGATGGGAGTTAGTTATAAATAGCGCTCGACGAGTTTTTCAAAATATTCTCACTTCATTTTAGTGACAAATTGTAGTTTTTTGAGGTCAGCACCTTATGGCAGCTGATGAAGGAAAAGTTATTGATTTGTTTCTTGCACACAATAGAAGTATTTTTATTTATTTTATTTATTTATTTATTATAGGTAATTCAACAGAACATAAGTTCCAATTACAGAATTACGCATTGTGACAATATTAATGCGTGTGGTATAATTAATAGGTACATTAAAACTGACTAATAACTAATAACTAATAACTAATAATTACATTTTGTATCTGAGTAGTAGGTAACTAGTATGAAACTGAAGTAGAACGAAAACTAATAGTAAATTAATCTATAATTTGAAAACATCAAGAGCCATTTTTTATTTTGAAGAACTCGTCGAGCGCTACTCAGAACTCCCATCAGAACTGTTTTTTAATTTCCTTTTTATCGAAAATGTTTGTTTTTCAAGGTCGGCAACTTATGACAGCTGATTTTTTTCCGATTTTATATTTTCTAATGATTTTCCTTCTTTTTTCTCGAAAACTTCTGTTGTGAGTTGATCACAATAATTAAATATGAACTCGTTACTCGAAGATATATTTTATATATTCAGTGACAACATTATAATGTCAAATCTGATCACTATCTCTAACCACCAATCTCCCCGGTAACTCATATACAGAATGATATCATAACCTTCCCCTTTTCAAACGAACAAATATTTATCATTACAACATCGGAAGTGAAAGAAAAATGAACTAAATATAATCCTGAAGGTGGCAAGGTTTCCTTGTAATACGACCAAAACGAGTTCTATATATGCTACCACCCTCTTCAGCATTTGGTATTTCAGTTGGTTCGTTTTCATTTTCTAAATTATCATCATTTACATTTTCATTCATTTCTTGATTCTCAATAGTTGTT